CGTTTGGCACCAGTCTCGACCAAAAACTCAAAAAGCGTTTGCACCTTCCCCTCTTGAGACTTGAGATTTTTGTTGCGTCATAGCAATGTGTTCCGGGACAAAGCCATAAGGAGCATACATACTGTAGACTATGCTGTACATATTAGACAAGATGACAATGACTATGTGGGTTCAAGGCTGACCTTATGCCCAAGCATTTGCTCTGGTGCTGAATCATGCAAACTACTGGAATCAGCCCTCAAACCTACCCCAACCCCTTTGCTCCCGCTCCCAATCCACTCCTGCTCCCAAACGGAACACAGCATTCCCCACCTGTTTCTAAATAAAGGGATACAGAATTGCATTTCTGCTTGTTTCTCAAACGTGTGCAAAAATCCAGGCGTCACAGCTGGTCCAGCTCTGCCCAGCTGTGTCCCCAGCACTGACGGCCGGGCCTCTGTGCCGGGCAGCACTGGGCAGTCAAGGAGTTGCCAGAGGGCGCGCACCTGACTTAAACGCTAGTTATGAACAGACCCGCCTGGGGGCAAGGTCACGTGGGGACCCCGGTTGGGACTTTGGCTTGTAGGCTCCCCTGCCAACTTGCTTGCTGGCCTTGGCCAAACCACTTCGCTGACCTCAGTGTCCGCTTCTGTAGAATGAAGGGTTGGAGGGAATGACTTCTGACGTCTCCTTTGCCTGGAAAGGTCTCTAAATCAATGAGGCAGCCGGCATTGTCCCGAGGCTTCTCCAGCAATAAGGTGGTCACTCAGTGACCGTGAGAAAGTCTTACCTCTCACGGAGTGGGTGCTGGAGAGGTCGCCTGGGGCCTTCACAACTGAAACATCCAAGTTTCACGCCTCATGATCCAGAATCTCAGGCTCCACCCACTTTTCTTACACCTGATGGAATGAATGATTTTAACTTGCTTGGCAATGGGGGCGTGGCCATATCAACCACTTTTGCAGCTTTGGGAAAAAGCTCATTTGATCAGCTGGAAGCTGACAGATGGGGGTGGAGGCACTAAATCGGGATCCCAAATGTCAACAATCAAGGCAGATCCCCCACTCGGACCCCATACACACACACACCCGGCCCATGTTCTGAGAATTGCGCTCAGGCCCTCCACTAGCCAAATTAACTCCATCTGGTGAGGTCTAGCTCTTTGGAGTAACAACAGTTCTAATGTTAACCCAGACTCTGGAGCAGGGGTGGGGAACGTCCGGCCCACTGGCAGTATAAGGCCCGCGAAATCATTTGGTCTGGCCCTGCCGAGGCATTAGGGGCGAGTTAGTGAAATGTTTAACCCAATATAGCAGGCTAATTTTTAAGTTGATAATTTTGTATGGCCAGGGAATGATGTTATAAATATCCAATGGCCCTTGGCAGAAAAAAGGTTCCCCACCCCTGCTCTAGAAGCAATAAAGCCAGGCCTGTAGTCAGCAAAAGATTTAATTTAAGAAGAGAACACCTGTTATTCACAGACCATATTACTTGGCTCTGCCTCACAGATCAAAAACATTCCTGACAAGTTGTATTTAGAGTCACAGTGACAGGTTTGTTTTCAACTTGTATGATACCGCAGAGATGTTTCCAAGGGCAAAACAGTCAGTTGGAAGGCATAACAAAACTCATGTTTAAGAACTCTGACATTTGCCCCAAAGAGAAATAGCCTTTGTTAATAAATACAACACCCGAGATAAAAGGGTACACTATCAAGAATGTTTACACAAAGTCCCCATGGGCTATTGAAGTTGAATGTTTAAACTTCTCTAGGTATTCAGTAGGAGCTATTAGATTTAAAAAAGACTTCCATGGAGATGCTTTTCAAACCAAGTGTGACAGTTCATAAGCACCAAAGTATATCTTGTGATCAAATTCTTTAAACCATCAAGTACCAGGTAAAAGCCAATAAATGACCAGTAAAATTGGAAGATATTATTAAAGGCATAAATATCTGTAGGCACTCATTGATCTGTACTTTCGGTCCTCGTGAACTGCCATCATTTATATTCTAGAAAACCCACCACATTAGCTGAGTATCAGCTGTGTTGACCAAAGGTGGGAAACATGAGGAGAAATGTTCAGAGTAGGGCTGGCTTGTATTGTTTCCTATAAGCAATGTTTAATCTCCTTACCTTCATTATCTTTCTTGGGGGTGGGGAAAGGAATTGATTTGCCTGATTGCTGTACTATATTAATAAAAGCACCATTTAGACCTAAAATATTTCATAGGTAACCTTCCATTTTCAAAGAATGAATGAATCCATACCTGAAGGAATGGGGATACTTACCCTTTCCACAGGGATCTTTTCAACTGGTTACAAACGTCACTGTAAAATTTCCAAGTTCAAAGAAAACCTGTTATCTGCTATGCCTGTGGCAGGACCTGACTCATTACGTAACTTGAGGATATAACCAGTCTTTCTTGTCTGGAATCGTGTTCCACTGGACAGAGGTTGGCAAGATACCACTTATTAGCCTAACCACAAATCAACATTAACACAACTGAGGCATTTTTTCTTTTTCTACTTGTTTCCGTATCAGGGATTAAGGATAGATGAAAGATGTTCAATAGGTGTGTATTCGTTTCTTATTGCTGTAACAAATTTAGTGGCTTAAAACAATACAGACTTATTGTTTTACAGTTCTGGAGGCCAGAAGTCCAAAATGGCCCTTTACTGGGCTAAAATGAAGGTGTTGGCAGGGCTGCATCCTTACATGAAGGCTCTAAGGGAGAATCCGTTTTCTTGCATTTTCCAGCTTCTAGAAGCTGCCTGCATTCCTTGGCTCCTGGCCTCTTCCATTTTCAGAGTCATCAATGGCCAGAACAGTATTTTTCACATTACTGTGGCACTTCTGTCTCTCTCCTCTACTTGTAAGGACCCCTGTGATTACATTGGGCCCACCTGGATAACTCAGGAACATATCCCTATTTGGAGTTCATCAGCAACATTAATTCCTTCTTGCCATGTAATACAACATATTTCCAGGTTCTGAGGATTAGGATAGGGACATCTTGGGGA